CACTGAGGTGAACAGAAGCCCTCTTTGCCTCTTTATCTCTGTTTGCAGGTGTATTTACTCTGCGGTTGGAGGGAGTAGAATGGTCCAGCCTTTGAGGTGGGGGTAACCTGAGGACACCAGTTACTGGTTTTTGACCCCAGTATTGATCAGGAAATGTAGCCTTGAATGATACAGCCTGAAGAAGAGTTAAACATGATGAGTGGAATGCTAAAAGTTTTACCAACAACTTGTTTAGTTGCTTAACACAAATATCTAATCAGCCAACGTGACAGCTACTCGATGTATTTAAGCATCTACATGTGACGAAGACGATTTGCTGAACTACAAGCCGAGCATCAGAACATGGCATGGTTGTTGGTTCCAGACGGGATGGTATGAGTATTTCAGAACTTATTGGTCTGGGATTTTTCACTTCTAACTATTTCTGTGGTTTACAGAGAATGGTCAGAAAAAGAGAAAATATCCAGTGAGTGGAAGTTCTTCAAACAATGTGATCCTGTTGGCGTCATTGTGCTGTGATTAATGGAGTGGTTCGCAGCTGAGTGTGAAGCAGCTGGGATGAGGGTCAGCACCTCTAAATCTGAGGCCATGGTCCTCAGTTGGAAAGGGGTGAATTGGCCTTACCGAGTTGGTGGTGAGGTGCTGCCTCAAGTGGAGAAGTTCAAGTATCTTGCAGTTTTGTTCACGAGTGAGGGAAGAATGGAGCGTGAGATCGACAGACATATCAGTGCATCGTCTGCAGTATTGTGCACTGTGCGCCTGCTCGTAGTGGTGAAGAGGGAGCTGAGCTGCAAGGCGAAGTTCTCTGTTCTCGGTCTTCGTTCCTACCCTCACCTATGGTCACAAACTCTGGGTAGTGACCAAAAGAACAAGATTGCTGATACAGGTGGTCAAGATTAGTTTTCCCTATAGGGTGAGAAGTTTAGTTATCCTGGAGATACTGGGAGTAGAGCTGCTGCTCCTCCACATCTAGAGGTGTGGAGTTGAGGTGGTTCAGACTGGTAAGGATGCTCCCTGGGGATGTTTTCCAGACATGTCCAACTGGGAGTACACCCCAGGAAAGTGCCAGGATATGTGGAGGAGATTATTTTTTGGCTGGCCTGAGAATGCCTTGGAGTCCTCCCTGAAGAGCTGGAAGAGGTGGCTGTGGAAAGAGATGTCTGGGCCTCTCTGCTCAAGCTGCTGCTCCTGCAACCTGACTTTGTAACAAGCATAAGATAATGGATGGTAATCTGTCTGGATGAAAATACCTCTTCAATATGAGAGGTCAGAGGAGAGTGGGATTAGATGTCAGAAAGGCAAATGATCACTCCTTACAAAGATCTGCAGAAAATCATCTCTGAACACAACATATTCAACCTTGAAGCAGACGGGCTCCAGTAGCAGAGGACCACACCGGGTACCATTGTTGTCAGGTAAGAACAGAACATTGAGGTTACTATTACAGGCTACAGGTTACTGTACTGTTATAGACTAACCAAAATCAGACAATAAATGAATGGAAAACCATTCCCTGGTTTGATGAGTCTCTGCAAATCTTACACAACTGTGGGTGAAAATCCCAGATTAGCAGTTTCTGAAATACTTGTCTATTTCCGTGTCATGTTCAAAGTCACAGTCTCTATCAAATGAAAACAGTACCTAAATCTTGAACTCACAAATCTTCATTTAATGCTTTAATGCATTTAGTGCAACAGAAAAACAAAACGAGACATTTTCTTCTTAATATACTGTATAGGTAAAACTTATTAGCTCAGCTACATTTAAATGTTTTTTAACATTTCTTCTGGTCAGCGCTGATAAAACAAACTGCAAAATGCAAGAAGATTTTTCTGATATTTGTTGAACGTTTTAGCTGTGACTGTTTAAATGGTTTTATCAGTATTGCATGATGTAATCTACATTTGATGTTGGACGTTTGTTCGATGGGGTTGAAGAGCTAACGGTTACGTAACATTATTTTTAAAGCTGCTGAGTTTTGAGTTTGATGTTATATAGTGGTACCTTTAAATTCTGACTTGTTGGCTTTGTGTTGTTCTTGGACAGTTATAGGGTCTAGGTGTTTTCTAAAGAGCGATTTCTGACCTGCAGGGCACCATAATGGACAAAACTGTATTGAGAAGATCCTTTGATGGCACTTGGAGAGTTGTAGGATTTGGTCCCAATGTTGAAACTTGATGGATTTCTGTAAGTTCTAGCTAACAATCTCATCTATCAAACTTGAATTTCAGAGATCACTCCAAGTTTTGCTTTCTTAAAACTGGTTCAAATGTCTTTATTCTTTATGGCATAAACTTCTGAACGTTGACTCCCTGAAGAAACCAAAACAAGTTGTCCTCAGTGCCTTAAAAATAAAGGCATTTTAACCAGTTTTATAAGTGGCTTGGAGTGTCTCAAATTCAAATTTGAGCTCCAAAGATCACCTCAGCAGGTCCCACACTGAAACCAGGACACAGAATTTGTAATCCTAGATGTTACTTTTGACAATATTCATCATTTTTGGAGTAGAACCATCAAACTAAAGAAAAACTAAATGAACTCCTTAAAGAGACAATTCAATAAATGTGTGAATTTTCCTAAATTTGGGTGAGCTGTTATAACAATACTTTTTTTTATGCCCTTCAAAGGAGGGATGTATTATGGTAAGGTTCCTGTCCATCCATCAGTCTGTAGGTATGTCTGTAAACTTTCTTTGTCCTACCCATAACTTCTGATCCGCTCAAGATAATTTAATGAAATCACTAGACAAAGTGTTGCACACACTTCTCATCACCCCAGCTCTAAGGCCAAGGTCATAAATGAAGGTCAAAATTAAAAGAAGGCCTGTCAATTCATGTTTTCCGTCTTCAGTGCTATTTAACAAGAGGCTCGTTTGACCCAGTGAATAAAAGAAACTCAAATCCAAGAAAAATCAGGATGACTGACTCTTGCATGGAGTTATTTTCTACAGATTGCCTGCTTTTGTTCCGGATGTTGTTCAATGTGTGGCGTTCATTTCTGGATTTTGAAGATGACTTTAATGCTCTCAGAGTTGTCTGTGTTTTGTCTGAATTTCCTATACGACATATTGATATACACAACTTGACCGTAAAAGCCGAAGCGAAACATCATAACATGTTTTTACAAATGAAGCCGTCAGACTAACTATGTCATCCCCAACGTGAATGAGTAACTTTCTGTTTGGGCAGAATAACTCGAGCACCTCAAATCTTTTCAGGTTATACAAACACAGACTCCTGTTGTGTAGTCACATCAGTCAAATGATGAACAATTAAATTAACTTACAAAAAAAAGAGTTTTATAACCTACGCTTAGTTATTGTAAAAAGAAATTGCACTCTAAAAAATAAAATCACGCATCCATTTATTTTGAATATGAAGCTTTTTGATCATTTTTACCAGTCAAAATAAGCAGGTTTTATTGTTTTGAAGCAATAATATGACATATTAAAGCAACCAAATACCTCTTTGATTAAAATATGCTATTTTACAGAACAAAGATTGTCCCAAAGTGCTTTCCTTACTTACACGTGCATTTGGCTGGAGAGCCCAATGCAATATTTTTTGTTACAAACCTTGAGATATTTTGATTCTTGTGTTTTTAGGAGATTCTGAAATCCTCTGGATTTGTTGCCATCCATGAACTATTTGGTGAGGTCACGTTTCTAATAGTTATTTACTGTTTACATTGAAACAGTCTGGTTTAATAGAACCAGCTGATGTAACTAAATTAAGTGAATTTAATGTTGTTTTTTTTATTGATTTTAATTTTGTGTTATGGTTTGAAAGGAATCTTACTACAGCTATGCAGTACTGGTCAAAAGTTTTTATTATACCCCCCCCCCCACCCCCCCGCACAGCCCAATGAAAAAAAAAAAAAAACAAACCTTGAGAAATATTAGATCGTGTGTTTTTAGGAGAT